CGGCCGGCGACTTCCGTGGGCGGGGAGGGGGGGGTGGCGGGGAGGCAGTAGCCGCCTGTTGTTACTAGTGACAGGGGAAAAGGAGTAGCTTGGCCACCTGCCAACTCGTGCGCATGCGTAGCCTCGGGAAGCCCCTCTGAAGTACTGCGCACGCGCGATCTAGGCCAAACTAGGCAGGGGACGGAGCTATCAGCTTTTGCATATTTGCGCGTGTGCAGCTAACGAGCCAGGCTGAGTGACGATCTTACCTCGGGTATCAGCTCTTGCGCATGCGCTGGTATGATTCCTCGAGGCTACAGTTGTCTCTCTCCTGCCTTGAGGCCTTAGGCTGGAAGCACATGCAGCAGTGCTGAGCCGTGCTAGCGGAAGGGAGGGCGCGCTCCAGTGGCTCACCCCCAGGCTACCCCTGTGTGTGTCCCCATAATTAGCCAGCATGTAAATACACTGTAGGAATACTAATAATACAGGGGTGAGCCCAATCCAGAGGTATCCCGTCCATAGGATGGTTTGGGGTAGCCCCATGGCTCCCACCCATATCATCCCCTGACTGGGACGGTCCCCCATAGTGATGGGCGCCTGCAGGATTTAGGGCAGCCTAGAGGATTGACTGACACAGGGTGGCAGCAGGAGTATTCCTTGCACGCCCCGCCCCCGCCTCCTCCCACACTCAGTGCAGCAGCGGAAGTCCGGGAAGGAGAGTGATGCACACAGCAGCCAACACCACTCCCAGCCAAGTCACTCCACTCCACTCTACTGACAGTGCAAAGAAGAGTGGCCCAGCCTGCTTTCAACTTCTTTCCACCACAGTAAGGCTATATCTATACTAGCAGGTTATTGCGCAAGAAGGGCGGTTCTTCCGCAGAGCGTCTACACTGCCCACTCGCTCTTGCACAAGAAGATCTACAGTAAAGCGTGGCAAGAGAGGACTTCTTGCGCAAGAGCTACACTCTTTTCTAACAGGTGTAAAATGGCCATCAGAGCTTTGTTGCGCCATAGAGCGTCCACACTGCCATGGATGCTCTTGCGCAAAAGCACATGTGGCACATGGCAGTGTGGATGTGTTCTTGCGCAAGAGTTCTTGCACAAGCACTCTTGTGCAAGAAACCGCCAGTGTAGACATAGCCTAAGTGTGGGTGGAGCTGATCCAGGTTGCCTCCCTCAGACCCTCCTCCCCCCCGCCAGGCTGCCCAGGTAATCCACAGCTGTTGGCAGAATGGGGCTTCATCAAGGGTAGGGACGAGGCTGAACTGGGCTGAGAAGAGGTGGGAATGTGGATGGGGGTGGGTTGGAAGTAGTGGAGATAAGGCGTGGGCAGAACAGGGTAGGAAGAAGGTCTGAGGTGGGGAGCTTGCTCTGGGTCCCTGGAGGAACTGCCCTGATCCCACCCTCAGAACAGAGTAAATTGTATTACAGGCACTGGGACTGATGAGACCTGAAAATTCACAAATCTTCACTTTAGATCTTCAGACAGAGCTGCCTCATTCATAGGGCAGCCACCCCAGGTGCCAAATGTGTCTGTGTGGAGAGTGGGGGAGGGGGGCAGCAGCCGTCTCAACAATCCTATTGAGAAGCCTGGCACAATGCAGCAGAAGGGGTCGCTCCCCTTCCCACACTCACCAAGGGAGGAGCTCAGCAAACTGCTCTAACCCAGTCCCACTGCCCTCTTCTGGCACACTGTGCGGTTAATCTACAGCAGCAGAAAGAACCCACTTCCTGCCACCATGAAGAAGTTAGTCTCAGTGGACTGGGAGTTAGGTAATTATAAATTGATTGGAATAGAACTATTGTGCTTCCATGTCACTGTGTAGCAGTATGTCCTGGGACCCATCCTATTCAACTTATTTATAAATGATCTAGAGCAGTGTTTCCCAATTGGTGCTCCAGGGAACCCTGGGGTTCTGCGAAGCAAAACTAGGGGTGGCGCAAGGAGCTGGCACTCCCCCACCCCCTCTGAAAGAGAGAGAGCTGGCTAGCCAGCAGAGGCATGGGCAGCGAGTTGTATAGGCTCATGGTGCCCATGCTCCACCAATATTTGGAACTGGAGTGGGCCCCGGCCCCCCCACGTGTCCTCCCACCCCGGTCCCAGAGCATCTCTCCCCTGTCCCCGTGCCCGTCCCCGTCCCTGCCATGCGCAACCTTCACTGAGCTTCTCCTTGCTGGTTGCTGCTGCCCTGCACGGCGTGCTCAAACCAGTAGGCGGGGAGATGCCCGGGTGTGATGTAATGTCACGGCCCGGGAGGCAACAGGAGGGTGCAGGTGTAAGAGAAGGTGCAAGTGCCAGGGGATTCTGGGGGTGAAGCAGAAGGGCAGACACCTGCAGGAGAGGGACCACCACCAGAGGAGAGATGCAGGGCAGGTTTGTAGAAAGAGGTGTTAGAAGAGGGGATGAGGAGGGGTAGCTCACATGATCAGAATGGGGCTACTGGAGGAGTGGGCACAGGGAGAAGAGAAGGGCTGATGGAGGGGGAGCAGGTTGCAGGAGAGCTGAGGGCTGTGAGAAGGGCAGGAGTCAGGACAGCAGAGGAAGGTGAGGAGTTGGGAGGCAGCAGGCACCAGGGGAGCTGATGGAACAAGGGGTGGAGACATGACAGCAGAAAGAAAAGGTAAAGGTTTACAAATATTTATTAATAACTTGGGTGCCACAGTGGCACATCCAAACAAGCCATATGAACTCAGTACTGGTGCACAACACAAAATTCATTTTGCTCATGCGAGGAAACTCTTAGGCTATGTCTACACTGGCGGTTTCTTGCGCAAAAACATCTTGCGCAAGAGTTCTTGTATTTTGCTCATGTGAGGAAACTCTTAGGCTATGCGCAAGAGTTCTTGTGCAAGAACACGTCCATACTGCCATGTGCGAACTGTGCTTTTGCACAAGAGCATCTATGGCAGTGTGGATGCTCTCTTGCCCGAGAAAATGCCAATGGCCATTTTAACCATAGGGCTTTCTTGCGCAAGAAATTCATGTTGCCTGTCTACACTGCCCTCTTGCGCAAGAACAGTTGCACAAAAGGGCTTATTCCTGAGCACGAGCATCATAGTTCTTGCGCAAGAAGCCCTGATTTCATACATGAGAACTCTGTCCCCTGCTCCCACCAGCACATTTGGGACCACATTAGTGAGGCTTGGGGGTCTTTGGAGGGTTGTTGGGGTTTTTTTGCATCTCACTTGTGTGGCCACAACAGACTTTTCTGTGGGTCAGTGACCCTTGACTCAAAACAGGTTCCTCACCCCTCTCATAAAGACAATGCTAAAACTTTTTGAGTTTGACATAATATTTTAGTTAAAAATGAAGCCTGGCCAACAAGCCCCCAATTGGGGCCAAACCCCCATCTCACTGCAGCATCATAACACTCCTGCACCATCTGACCCCAAATCTGAGCCTATCATACACTGGAACTCCCTGTCCTGGGCCTCTTACATCCCCAAAACTCCTGCATCCCCCCATCCTCCGTCTTCTGCTGCAACACTCCTGCACCATCTACATATGGCAAATCTGTGTCCTGAGCCCGTCATACTCACAACCTTCTTGCCCTGAGTGCCTCACATATCCAGCCCAAACTCCAGCACCCTCACATCCACAAGCCCATGGCTTGCTCAGCACTCCAACCTTCCACCTGAACCCAACACTCCCTAGCCTGGAGCCCCCTCCCCGAGCCAACATCCCCTTCTCCTGCATCCAAATTCCCTCCCAGAGCTTGAACTTCTTACCCCTTCCCACATCCAAATCCCTCATTCCCACCCCTCACTTCCTGTCTCAACCCAGTGAGAGTGTATAAGGGCTGGGGATAGCAAGTGATGGAAAGGAGGGGAACAAAGCTGATGATGCCTCAAGGAAGGGGGGTGGGAGTCTTGGGGAAGGAATGTGATTTTCATGCTTTTTTTTTTTTTTGCTTGACAAACCTAGGGGTTCCTTGAAATTCTGAAAAGCTGAAAAGGGTTCCTCGGCCAAATTAAATTGGGAAACACTGATCTAGAGAAAGGGCTAAACAGTGAGGTGACAAAATTTGTAGATGATACCAAACTGCTCAAGATAGTTAAGGCAGACTGTGAAGAGCTTCAAAAAGATCTCACCATACTAAGTGATTGGACAACAAAATGGCAAATGAAATTTACTGTTGATAAATGTAAAGTAATGCATGCTGGAAAAAATTATCCCAACTATACATACTATATGATGGGGACTAATTTAGCTACAGCTACTTAAGAGAACAATCTTGGAGTCATTGTGGATAGTTCGCTGAAAACATCCATTCAGTGTGCAGAGGCAGTCAAAAAAGCAAATAGAATGTTAGGAGTCATTAAAAAAGGGATAGAGAATAAGACAGAAAATATCTTATTGCCGCTATATAAAACCATGGTAGACCCACATCTTCAATACTGCATACAGATGTGGTTACCTCATCTCAAAAAAGATTTATTGGCATTGGAAAAGGTTCAAAAAAGGGCAACAAAAATGATTAGGGGTTTGGAACGGGTCTCATATGAAGAGAGATTAAAAAAGACTTGGACTTTTTTTCTTAGAAAAGAGGAGACTAAGGGGGATATGATAGAGGTCTATAAAATAATGACTGGTACAGGAACAGAGAAGAAGGAAAAGTTATTTACTTATTCCCACAATAAAAGAACTAGGGGTCACCAAATGAAATTAATAAGCAGCAGGTTTAAAAGAAACAAAAGGAAGTTTTTCTTCACTCAGCACATAGTCAACCTGTGGAACTCCTTGCAAGAGGATGCGATGAAGGCTAGGACTTTAACAGAGTTCAAAAAAGAGCTAGATAGATTCATGGAGTTTAGATCCTTAATCTTGAAGCCAGATAGATCTTTTGCCCCCGCTACTTCCCTTGGAAGGCTGTTCCAGAACTTCACAAAAGCACATGGCAGTGTGGACGCGCTCTTGTGCAAGACCTTTTGCGCATGAACTCTTGTGCAAAACAGTTCTTGTGCAAGAAGCCTGCAGTGTAGACATAGCCAGGGTTTCTGAGTTGGGAGATGAGAGAGTGAGCACAAAAGCTGCTGCTTTGGTAGTCTTCCTTTCATTTAGCCTTGTGAATTTCTCATGAAAATTTATCAGCCCTGACGTAAAACTGCTAGCCTGCCCATCATGATGAGACTGAGGCAATTAATGGCATTTTTTCCATTTTTGGCCAAATGATTTCTTACAAGGCTGCATGTAATTTGTGCACAGAGACTTCATGCCAACCAACTTATTCATATAGCAAAGTTTTCAGGGCAGAGACTGTATTATTTGGCCTTTGTAATATCCCTTACCCAAGGAGTCCAAGGTTAGATCAGGGACTGTAGACACTCCTGTAATAGAAATAACAATGTGAATGTGTGGGCAGGCTCATCTGCCAAACATCTCTCAGGGTATGTCTACACTACCCCGCTAGTTCGAACTAGCAGGGTAATGTAGACATACCGCACTTGCAAATGAAGCCCGGGATTTGAATTTCCCGGGCTTCATTTGCATAAGCGGGGCTCCGCCATTTTTAAATCCCCGCTCATTCGAACCCCGTGCCGCGCGGCTATATGCGGCACGAACTAGGTAGTTCGAACTAGGCTTCCTAGTTCGAACTACCGTTACTCCTCGTGGAATGAGGAGTAACGGTAGTTCGAACTATTCCACGAGGAGTAACGGTAGTTCGAACTAGGAAGCCTAGTTCGAACTACCTAGTTCATGCTGCGTGTAGCTGCGCGGCACGGGGTTCGAACGAGCGGGGATTTAAAAATGGCGGCACCCGGCTTATGCAAATGAAGCCCGGGAAATTCAAATCCCGGGCTTCATTTGCAAGTGCGGTATGTCTACATTACCCTCCTAGTTCGAACTAGGAGGGTAGTGTAGACATACCCTCAGGGTGGGAAGAGGAAACACATTATCCTCAATCCAACTGCACAAGAGAGCTATATCCACCTAGAACAAAGAGAGATTGATTCTCAAAGGCCTTTATAATAGATATGGGAATATTACACTTCTAAGAATGTAAAAGGTGGCAGAGGGTACCTAAGAAGTCACAATATAAAAGGAACCAGGGTAATATGTTCAACAGCCCAACAGACTGGATTGACTGGAAAGGGTCCTCCTCATATGAGCTCCTGCAATGAGATTAGGACGCTGGAGGTAGCCTAAACCAGTCCAGTCTCTCTGGGGTCACTACTACGTTGTGATTGGATTCAATCCTGTGCATTTCTTCTGCCATAGTAACTGGTCACTTTCCCAAGCTTTGAGTTTCTTGGGCACACTCCCACTATAGAAGCTGTGTCTGGCATCCTTCTTGAGCAGTGGAACCCCAAAATCCAACTAATTAGGAGCTGAAACCAGTACCACAGCCCTCCCTAGCCCCACATTGGAATGGGGATGGTTTCCTTCAAGCAGGGGCAGATGAGAGTTTTGCGGGGCCTAGGGCAGCACAATTTTGCGGGGGCCTCCTTTGGAGAAAAAATAGAAAAAAGGCGTCAAATGCGCAAATTTGAAGGCTATTTTTATATTAAATGTGAATTGGGTAAATTTAATAGAAACTTAATTTAGTTGGATAATTTTTATTTTAATTGTATTGTAAGTCATTCTTAAACAAAATTCTGCATTAATAATTAAAAATATTCATTTGTATTCAAGTCTTCTCCCCCTCCTGCCTCACTCTCTCTTTCTTTTCCCCTCCCTCTCCTGCCTCACTTTCTCTTTCTCTTCTCCTCCTGCCTCACTCTCTCTTTCTCTTCTCCTTAGTCCTCCCCTTCCTGCCTCTTACTCGTGGAGCCGAAATGGCCGTTTGGGCCCCACACGGCGTCCTGGCTGAGCGGCGCAGAACTCAACCGAATGCCACGGTGGGAGACGAAGGGAGGCGGGGCGGTGATGTACACAGCCAGGGAGCAGGACCTGGAGCCTCTGTCACACCCTTTACCTCCTGCACCCTGCCTGTGTACATCACTGCCCAGCCCCCCTTCGCCTCCCGCCGTGGCATTCGATTGAGTTCTGCGTCGCTCAGCCGGGCCGCTGAACGGGAGCAAACAGCTCAAGTGGCCGTTTGGGCCCCGTGCAGCGGCTTGGCACGGGGCCTATTGCAGCGCGGGGCCCTGGGCAGTTGTCCCGCTCGCCCTGCCTTATATCTGCCACTGCCTTCAAGTCCAACTGGTTGTGGAAACTCTAGTTTTTTTAGTTCCACTTTTCAAGGTGATTGAAAAGCAAAGCATGTAGGCTTAGCACAGAAATTGCTTATTCACAGTTTATTCTAAAAAAAGCATAAGAGGGAAGTACAGCTTTATAGAAAACACCAAACTCCTCAACATGTCTGTCTAAGCCTGAGCTCACCATTCCTGTTAGTCCTGGATTTGGTCTGGACTCTCCCTACATTCTTGGCCTGGTCTCCTACACATGGTGAGAGACAGTCCTCCCTTGATTAGACTTGTACCTTTTTTAATACTGACTCTGTCCTCTTTTCCTATATGCTTCAAGCTGGGGATGATCCAGGCTCCAGCTGCTTTTTCTCCCATCAACTTCTGTGAAGAGAAAGCCATTCAACCCATTGGAGGGCAGAGCTCTTTAGTTCTGATGACCCTTAATTGCTCTGTCTCGATGTCTCTATTTTGTGTTCTCTGCTACAAAATGGTTGCCCTACATAGGGAAGATCACAATCATAAACAGGTTACCAAAAACAAAATGGAATTTCTAGTTTCTGTATCTCACTGTCACTAGAATCTCATTGGTCAGCACACTGGATTCCAGAGCCTTTCCCTCAAACCCCAGCTCAGGAGTAACAGAAAGCAAGCTTCTTCTGAAGACTGTTTGGAGGCCTGTGTGAAATGTAGGTTCCATAATAACTTTCAGTGCACAGGCATTCATAACATAAAAACCACACCTTGGGTGTGCTGAACACCCACCATTCCAGTTAATGGGAACTATGGGCATCCTAGTGCTTCTGGAAATCAGGCCCAAGAAGGTATCTTGAGCTGGCTGCTCAAAAATAAAGGCACCCAAAATCAGAGTCCACTTCTGAAAATGCTGGCCTAGATCAGGGATTGGGAACCTTTTATGGGTTGGGGGCCTCTGACCCATAGAAAAATCAGTTGGGGGCTGCACACAAGTATGAAGCAAAGAAAAAAAACAAACAAAAAAACCCCTCACTGAAAGACACTCTCCACATTCCTCTTGCACCCCAGAGCCTAGGGGGAACCCAGCCTAGTAGATCTTGTATGCCCCAGCCCTATGGTTGGGTAGCGGGAGGTGGGGAGGCTGGAACACCAGCATGGGCTCCTCGATGCTGGGGGGGAGGACTCTGAGCTTTGAGGGGGCAAATACAGGCAACCTGGGGGTTGCATCTGGTCCCTGGACCTTAGGTTCCCTGCCCCTGGCCTAGATCTAGATAAAAAAGTGCAGACTGCTGCAGAAGCTGGCAGAGATCACAGAAAGGTGTAATCACCAGTGGATGCAAGGCTGAGTCCCATGATTCCTAGGCTGAGAAATAGAAATGATGCTGCGGGGTGTGTGGGGCGGGAGAGATGTCCTTTGGGCTAGGAAGAGGCCCTGAGGCACCTTGATGGTCAAGTCTCAGAGCTGTGCGACCAGATAGCCTACAGAGAACTGTGGCTACCTCTCCTGTGTCCCTGTAACACTAGGTCTGAGAGAAAGGGAGAGCGACTTGAATGGGACAGAAGAGTCTCCAACTGGGTTAAGATGATCACAAGCTACATTTATCTTTGTGACTGTTGTGTCACAGTCCACAGAGCCAGTGGGATGGCTCAACTCTTCTATTTCACAGCACAGTTAGAGTATGCCTAAACTACACTTTATTTTCGAAAGGGGATATGCAAATTCAGTGGGAATTTGTATATCTTCTTCTGATCTCACTTTCAAAAGCGGGTCTTTTGAAAGTGAAAGTAGTCTGGACGCATGTTTTTCGGGAAAAAAAACACAACACTTTTTCGAAAAACTGCATAAACTTCATTTTTTAAGGAAGAGCAGTTTTTCAAAAAGGGTTCCCTCCCCCCCAAAATGCATCCAGACTACTTTCACTTTCAAAAGACCCGCTTTTGAAAGTGAGATCAGAAGAAGATATACAAATTCCCACAGAATTTGCATATCCTCTTTCGAAAATAAAACATAGTTTAGACATAACGGTAGTGAACAAATCATATATTCTTACTAGGGGGAAAGAAACACCCCGCCCCACACACACAAAGCCATGTGGCTCTGATAGTAGTGTGCTGCGATGTGCTCTTTAAAATTTGCCAAAGGTAGCATTTATTGAGCATACAGGCTTGGCCAGATCAATGAAATCACAGAGTGCCTTGTTCCTGGCAGGCACACAAATACACTTTCTAATGAAGTTTACAGCTAGTGGAATTTAGGTCATTACTTGGAAATGATCAGTTTATTCCAGCAGCTGTTAAAATATTTAAGAAATCATTGTCAAATTAAGTCTGATCATGTCTCACTGAAAATACCCAACTTGCTGGCTTAGCAGATTTCATGGGTTGAGTTTAATTTCCTTCCTTCCTTCCTTCCTTCCATCCACACTGCAGTGAGGCAAATAAAACCAGGGCCCTCCCTCTGTGTAATTTTGGCACTGTGCTAAACAAGTGACCCAAATATAACCTATGTCTGGAACGGCTTGTTGTGTTCCACGTCTAGCCCAGTCTCTCCCTGAACTGAACAAGATCGAGTCTCCCGCATGGGATGAGAGACATGGGAGATTTTCACTAACAGGCTGAAGTTACTTAAATTGCATGGAGCCCAGAAATGCCATCCTCTAAAAGCTGGATTTTATTGCTGCTAAATCTAGATACTATCTAGACAGACCTGTATTCTAATATGATCTCTCACAAGAACAGCTAAAACAGCTTCTTAGTGGAGGTTGATCCTTAACTGGTTAAACTAAATTGTACTGATTCCTAGGGTGGAGGTGGGTGGGGGAGGGTGTTGTCTGTCTGTATCACAAAACAAGAGTCTATATTGCAAGCACAGGTCACAAATTGTGTTTCTCCTCCTCAATGCAGACCAGTGGTTGAAAAAGTGACAAGGAG